TTCTCCCCTCCCTTGTAGCTTTGAAGAAACAGTGGGATACTTTGGGATAAAGCCAAAGCCTGGCGAGAAGGAGATCACACCAAACTACATTTTCATGGTGTGGTACGAATTCTGCAGTGACTTCAAGACCATTTGGAAACGAGAGAGCAAAAGCATTTCCAAGGAACGGTAAGGTTCTAATAAAGTCATTAATACCATTTTAGATGTCTGGGAAACTGTTCCTTCTCAAACCCAACAAATTATACTCCTATATTTCACAGGCGTCATTGTTTTCTTTCAGATCTAATGGACATCAAGGAAAGATTATTCCCTCAGGGTGCGTAGGAAAATTCACCAAAGGCATGCTGTCCCCACAAAAAGATAAACACATATAATCTGATAAATTACACTTTTGTAACCCCTTCCAATTACTAGCTAGTAAAATGAAAGGAGAGCTGTGCTAATTTGTAACAGATTGCTTCTCTGTGCATTTTCATGTTGAACTAGCCTAAATGAGGCGATATTGCTGTCGCAGACAGTACAGACAAATAAAAGTGAATGCTTTTCCAGTTAATATACTGCACTTGCATCAAAGGGAAGCCCCAGAGATTCAGGCCACACTTAGCACAGTGTCGAAGCCCCACACTGAATTTACAGCACTACTTCTGACTTTTGGTGTCCTGCTGAGGACATCAAACTACTTGCCGCTAGATCTCACCACAGTCTCCTGATTTTATTAGTTAGAGTAAAAAAAAAAAACAAAAACAAAAACTGAAACCTTCAATTATTTGCTTGATTTTCTTAAAGAAGTTTAAAATCTTTTACAAAGGAAAAAACCAATTCCACTACAAGCGCACCATGCTTACCATATCTCAATTCATTTTAGAAGACCTAAAGAGTGGTAATGTGGTCATGCTTGGGAAAAGAATGGATTAATGACTTCTAGCATGAAATATAAATCCAGGTGCTTATTCCAAACTGACACAGATTTAGAGAAAATGTCTGTAAAAGTATCAGCAAAAGTAGTAAACTCATTTACACTTATATTTTCCATTTTGCTCCAAATCAATGTGACTTTTAGGTTCAGGAAGAAGTAGGTTTTTAAAGGACAAGATGTAGAAATTATAAACTCCAATTGTCAGCCTTATCAACATTGTTTTACAGATATTACAGGTTTTAAATGCTTGAAAGTTGTAGCTTTTTTGTCATCTATGTTACGAGTAGATTGATTTTAGAAGCTGACAACAGCAAACATTAACAAAAAATATTTTATTTCCTTGTGTCTAGACGAATACACAAATTTGCACATTAAAAACTGTGTAAAATAAACAGTCACTAGCTGATTGCTGTAATCATGGTAATGATCATCTCAGGGATATATTTTCTGCTGAATTATGTCTTATTTTTGTTCCAAAAGCAGTTAGGAGGAATGGAAATTAACTATCCAAGGAAAAAAAAAAAATCCAGATCATACATCCATTCTTTTTTGTGTAATTAGCACCTTTCTAGTGGCATACAATGATCCCTTCAAAGAAATTGATTTAAAATACCTTGTACATGTTTTGACATTACATAACTTCTTAAACTTTCTTAATACAGTATTCAAGAAATCTTTGTTTGTAAGTAAACTGTTATATTCTGTGCTTTCCTACTGGGATGAGATGAGAATTTCTCATGGTTTAATAATTATGTAAATAAAATTTACAAATAAAAATACAGCACAAATATTTCATCAGTTCCTTTGATGGATACCTTTATTCCTATTCATAAATGTAAAGCAATACCAGTAGAATACAGAGCACCAGTTATTTTAATACTTCAAAGTGCTAACACTTTCTGAATTATATAGACTGTTTTTCAGAGTTCACTTCCAATTATTTTTACAAAGTTTCATTAATCTCAAAAGGATAATTTATAGTCCTTTATGTTCAGAATTTTGGTGATTCATCAAAACAATGAGCTGCTGAAATGAGGAGCCTTGTGTAATAAGTAAATTAGAATGACAGAAGAACTGTTTTCATTATCCTGAGTTGTTTTGTAATGTGCTACTGAAAAGAAGAACCTCATGAAGTCAGTAGATTAGAAGGATTGAAAAAACTATTTTCATCACCTGAAAATGTCCTGTAAAGTCATGACCATTTAAAGGTTCTGTTTTACAAAGTACAAGTCTAACAGTTGATGAGCTACTGTCCAAGAAATTTTGAAAGCTAGCTGAGAATCGTTGTGCATATCAGTAACTAAAAACCTTAGTATGACAGGAATGGACAGCTGTCTTCCTTAACTGGCTAATTAATTGGATGCACTATTTGTTTTGCATTTTTAAAGGTTGTAATTTAATAAAAATAAATACCTGTTTATCATGATCCAGTTCTTCAGTTTTGAAGGAAGTTTTAGAGGAAGAATTGGCAGTGTAAAGTCAGTATTTTCAAACTTAGGTTCTGAAACTGAGACATTGATATCCTTATGTAAACATGTTTACAATTGGATTATCCTTCCAGTTTCAGGAGGAGCTGCAAAAACTCAGCATAAAATGTGTCTGAATTGGCTAGTCACATAGATACCTAAAAATGGATTTAATTGGTTACATTTATATAGGAATGATAATATTGGATTATAATTTGTCTCTCAAGAAACATGGCTCAGAAAATTCAAAATGTAATTATAATATGCAGAATTATCATTACACAAAGGTATACTTAAAAATGTATTAGCTTAAAATTAATAGTAGTAAAAATAGGTCAAATGATCTAAGACTCCAAAATTAAAATTTTATACTCAAAACTAACTACTTTGCATTGTAGAATAGACAACTTGAAAATCTCTGAATTTCAGGAAAAAAGAGTATTGCCTTGAACTAAATGACAGCCTCAGCTGCAAGAGGCTGTTTTGTCTAAAAACTACTTGGCTCCCAAATGTAACACAACTGTAGAAATCTAATTAGATTTCTATGAGACTTTTTCTTAAAGTAAAGGAAACACTTCAGTTGAGCTGCCCTGCATTTAACCTACCGTGAAAATAAATTAGCTGCCTGAAAAATATAGTTGAATCATTGTCTCTTTCCTGGACAAAATTTGCGCACCATTTAGGAATGCAAGACAGAGTTACAGATCAATAACAAACCTAGAGTGATATGATATGATATTTAAATGGCTATAGAGATAAAATGAAGGAAATTTTCAAAACTATGTTCTTGATGAGAATATGAGGACAATTTTCTTTCAGACATAGTATTCCTTTCAATACCAGAATGCAACTACAGTACAATAAGATTTGCTTTGATTATCACCTCTTCATCCCTGACAAAGAGCTTAATGTAAATGCACTGTAATGCTCACCAAATGTTGGAGACTTTTGTTTTGTTTTGTTTTGTTTTGTGTCAAAACCCAGGCAATAACAGGTTTGAAAAGCAGAAGTTCTGACTGCAGTGTAGGCAGCTAATAGTAAAAAAGAAAATGTCCTAAGAAAAGAAAAAGCACTGAGCAATGCCCAATTAATTTTTGTTTATTATAGTAAATTAGAGCTGGCTGTGGCTTTTTACCCAACTCTTCCATTTGTTAAATACAGAATGAATTACATTCGTTGCCCTCTATTTCTGCACAGGAGAAAAGTAAGTCTGAGGAGTCCTTGTTTGTAACACCACATGGTCGTGACAGATAGCATGGAAATTGCAAAATCTCTTAGCAGTGCTGACCAATACAATATTTAGTATTTTTAACCATTGATTAAGCTAATCTTGAGACTATGTTGTGCCTAACAAATGTCTGAAATTTGACAGAAACACTTGCCACAGAGGAACTAGTGGATTATATTTTCATTTTCAATATCACAGTGAGCAAGGAGGATAAATAATTTTTGGTTCAAGACATTATATCGGTTTTAGAAGACCAGATTTATTTTATAGTTTGATTTCGGAAGTAAATTTCACTTTCATCTGCTGTATGTCATGTACATGTTACTTAAGACAATGGATAAAAAAAAATGGTGAGAGTGTGGATCTGCACCCATTTTGATCAATTTATACTACGGTAGAACATGCTGTCCTGAGCATTAGTCAAACACTCCAAAACAGGACATCATCCAGGTATCATACAATCTGTATACATGATAAAAGCCAAAAGATGAGTCTAACAGATGTTATTTATTTCATTTGATAATAAACTCATGATCTAATAAGGCAAATTGACATCACAACATAAATGAATTTGAAGGAAATATTTGAAATAAGATCTTTAGGTTCATTAGGCGATTTTATGTATTTATGCTGGGAGTTCCTTGGACGCATAGTTGCAGCATTTTTTCCCAAAAAGCAACATATTTGTGAGAAAATTTAATCATAGAGCCCTACAGCATTACCAGGCTGGAGGCTAAGGGTTCATTGCCATATAAAAGCATTTGGAGTGAGTTTGAGTTGATTGTGATTGAGTGAAGAAAGAGAAGAGAAGGTGGTGACATTCTACATGTCTACGTTCCACATGCATTTTGAGTAGATTTTGAGTGGCCAGTGTAGCCTTTGTCTATACCAGAAATATGGGGTTGAAGTAGCTAATACATGAATTAATGAAGAATTGTACCAGATTGTTTAGCAATGCAGACAGAGAAAAAAGGGAGGATTTTTACCTGTCGCTGAGGTTAAGGTGTAGCTATGGGGCAAATTGAGGAGATAATTACAAATTACAGGCCTGTGCTGCAAAACAGAAATGGCTATTTCTCATAGAGCATACAACAGATCTGGCAAAGTGCTGCGTCGAGGCACTTGCTCTTGGAAAGAAAAATAGTGTTTCTTTTTAGGTGTTATTAGGAAAGCACTATACAACAAAACAGAAACCATCACTGAATCATTAGTTATCTATATGTAGCTCTTCTCCAGTAGGATGTGGTAGAGCTAGGAGTGGTAAGAATAAGAATGATGAGGTACAGAACAGCTTCTGCATAAGGAACTGTTTAAATAAAGGAGAATTCTCTGGCTTGGAAAAGCCCCTACTGAAAGGGGTACAACAGGGATCTTCACAAGCGTGAAGGGTGAATGGGAAATAGTCATTACATACCTCATCTGATACAACAGTTGAAGAGCATCAAATGAAATTAGCGAGTGGCTGGTACAAACCAAATGCAGTGATGCCTCTTTACAGTAGGCATACTTAATCTGTTGAATACTTCACCACAAAATGTCACAGATGCCGAAAGCTTGC